CTTCTGTACCCATTGTACCCAAGGTTGTATATGAATCATATATCCACGTACATATGCAAGTCCAGAGTACTACGGGACGCACAACTGTGCATCCAAATGTAGAGGTACAGGAAAACGACTCACTGTGTCCAGAGGGATACACAATATTATTCATTGTACCCACAACCCATCTATGACTTTGTAAAGTGTTTGGTCGTGTATTTCAGAGCAGTTACTTGTATCATTTAATACATCAGTCCACATGATCAATGACTCATTACAGGCTCTGACGAAAATATCAAAACGTACAGTTCTCTCTACACCGTTACTTCACAGGACACTCATGTTGCCTGCAAGGACCCCTAATTGGGGGTTCCCGGGATCCCCATTTTTGTGAGTCGAGGTAAATCCTTGGTCACGTAAAAAAATTGTCATGGAAAGTAGTGGTATTCCGATTAATTGAAATAATCGAAGATTGGTCGCAGTGACCAAACGACCAAGCAATCGATCACATTTTCTCAAAATCGAACACAAATGATTTTGGAACTACTGGTTTAATGTTTGAAACACTTGACGAGGGAACATATCTTTGAAGTTGTCAGGGCCTAAAATGTGTTTAATTGTTAGAAAACTCACTTGACTAACTGAAAAGTAATGACTGAATATTTCTTGAAGACTCCAGGAAGTTTTTCTTCATGATATATCAGTTATCACATTAAAGTAGCAAGTTGCATCATGTTATACTTATCTGCAATAACAACCCGAATAGAAACATCTGAAAAATGATGCTAACCAATTTTTTTCGATGACTGATCGGCTGTTATGAAACAATCATCAGTTATGAGATTTTAACCAATTCCCAACACTAATGGAAAGACCAATGATCGGATCGAATTCCTGGGACAAACCATCCCCTATTGCCACCATTACGGCCCAGTGTCGCTAGTTATTTTATGATAAGGAAATACGATTGCAGACCTTGACATTTGGCAACACACCGAGTCCAAAGTGTTTTGTCTTCACACCGAGACATACCGTCGTGGTTAGATCACCGTACATATCTCACCAATGTCAGAGTGACCTACACTCAGATAACGTCAAGTCAATACGTGTATCAACACATGAATCAAAGCCTACCATTATCTCTCGACACGACACGCACACATGTGATGAAAATGTATCTCTGAAGTAATCAGGAAAAATCAAATACGTGTAGTTACCTTTGTGTTACGGGGGTGGTGGGGTCACGTGGGCGGTGGGGTCATGGGAACGGTGGAGTAACATGGTGGTTAAAGCGTCCGCTCGTCTCGCTGAAGACAATGGTTCGTTCCCCACATGGGTACAATGAAGCCCATTTCCTGTGTCCCTCGCCGTGATATTGCTGGAGTATTGCTAATAGGGTGTTAAACCATACCAGGGCACCAGATAAGGGTCGTATCGGCGTATGTACGGATGAAAAATATGCACGATACGGTAGGAAAAAATTTAGAAACCGTAGCAGATATGCACCACAGCAATGGTGTACGGTCTTAGAATCACTTACAGGCGTATCTATCTGATAAAGTATTGTTTTATTGTTCATTGACCTGTTAACACAAGAATCAATGTTGTGGTGCAAATATAAAACGAAACACAAGATTACTCATACTCCATTAATTTCCATTCAGTACTCTAAAGGTACACTTAAGGTTTTCAAGTACTCCCATATTGAACAAATAAAGAGTACGTACTCCTGATGTTGAAAAATATCTGGAGCCCTGCCATACTCTCCCTTTGTGACATCGCTCTCCAAATACAATCCAGGTATCGCCACTGTTACATGTAATGAGGAACTACAACCGATAGCAGTATTGTTTTATGCCGCTTTCAGCAACATTCATCCGGTATAACGGGAGGTGGGGGAAACCACGCTGTGGGTGCATGAGAATTATGTTACGCCGCTTTTAGCCCCAATCCAGCGATATCACGAGAGATGTGGGGAGTCTGTTTTCCATCGCCTTTCATAATTCAAACTAGATCACGTGGCTTGTTGTTAAACCACAAATGTAGAACATCAACACGGGTCTTCAGGGTGACTAAGGAACGCTAAGAACCCGCGGGGTCACCACCAGTTAACTCGAATTGGATAACTCGACATGTTTAACACGATGTAACTTATCGGCACTACTATCTCAATCAGCACTCCGCTTTACTCGGAACTATGGATAAGTCGATGTAGTATGGTCTAATCCATCTTCGTTATAGACTTCGAGGTAGGGTGTTCCGTTCTTCCGTCAGGGAAACTGGCCAAGGTCGAGTTCGACTGAAAGAGAGAGACTTGGGGGAGTGCAGTTGTGGCTTCTGACCATCAGCTTTCTTTTGAGTGAGTGAGTTTAGTTTTACGCCGCTTTTAGCAATATTCCAGCAATATCATGGCGGGGGACACCAGAAATGGGCTTTACGAATTGTGTACATGTGAGGAATCGAACTCGGGTCTTCGGCGTGACGAGCGAACGCTTTAACCACTAGGCTACCCCAGTTTTCTTTTGACAACCCCATACAAGAGAGGTGACATGGAGTTTAAAGTCGCATTCATACAGAGACGTGTGTGCGTGGGTGCGTACGTGCATGCGCGTTATACTGTCCGGACTGGTGGCTGTTTTAAGGTACTAACCAAATGAGATATCAAGCCACAATTTTAACACGGACACCCCACCCAGACAAAGTATACAGACTCCGAGCTGGCCGGTTATGTTATCCCTGAATAACGCTTTGTCTCTGAATATATATTATACAATTTTTGATAATAGTTCCATTTAAAATGAAAGGGAGCCCCAGTGAGACGGTGGATTTAAAATCTGAGGAAGATCTAGACTTGCTGCGTTTAGAGCTTTAGCATTGCAGAAAGGAATGGGAGGAAATTGCCTGAATTGGAAGTAATGCGGTTTAGGGATTTTGGGACAGATTTGTTTTATAGTCTGATAGCCTAGCGTCAGAAGGGGCTACAACAAGTACCACCTTCTAACGTCTTTCAGCATGACGCAACCGGGCATCGAACCCTGACCTCCATGCTCCAGGCAAACACTCTGTCCACTGGACTATGAGGCCAGATTAACTCTATATAGACATTGCTTGACAGTAAATCTTTAGTAAACACTGACAAAAATGAAATGTGCATAATGCATACACCTGTCAGTTCACATTGCATCAAAATACATAGCACGCCGTATCCATGGTAACAAATTGCCGATACTGGATACCATGAAGACGGAATACTGTATTATCTACGCTTGTATCCATAGTGAACAACGAGCGTGTCCTGCCACCAATCATCCCATTATCTTCCATATTGATATTGACACCGGTGATTTGCAATATATCCAGACATACGGCCTGCCGTTAGGGAAATGTCATCTGCGTCACCTGTTTATTCATCACAAATATTACCGACAGTTTGTTTATTGTTTAACGCTGCACTCAGCAATATTCCAGGTATATAACAGCTTCGGCAGATACGAGGTTTTTAGAATAATCACCTCGCCACCCCCAAATAGTGATATTGGGTATTAAAGCATGGGAAACCTTTAGCCTTTACCTTTGTAATTAAATTTTTATTTTTATTTCAATTTTATGTCTGCAATCAGATTCATTTGTCAGGTTACGATTACAAACGTTATACAGGATATTGCCTGCGTAAACATTTGAATCAAATCAAAAGAATTTACATTCTCCCAGTACGTGTTTAACAAGTAACAACCACACTCGTGTTTTGGCTCCAGGTAATTCGAAGCTAAATGAGGTCACCATGACACGATAGTGTGCTATACGACGTATATCTACCTCTGCGTGTACAGCAGTATAACACGTGTATGTATAACGGATGTATGGTACGTCTTCCATAACATGGCTGCGTGCAGTGCGTGATGTACAACCATGTTCACCAGGAACATTTTGCCTTGTACAACGAGTAGGGTATTACATCAGCTAGTGTTAGGGACACTCCACTGCAACACGTTGTTTAATTTCAATGTGATATTATGAATTGGTGCTTCATACGCAAGGAGACTTATATCGCATGTTTATGGCATCAAGTCGTTTTACTGTAAAGCAATATATGAAATTTCAATACAATATTCTTATTAAATCTTTGAAGGGCATTTAGAAGTGGAATGCATAAGAAAAGCATGATTTATGGTTGTCAACTTACAATTCACAATAAAGAAGTTGACATCCAAAAATCTTGCTTTTCTTAATATTCTTATTCTATTCACCTGAAGATATGTAGACACACATTCGGGGCGGCAGATTGTAATATATATTCATCTTACCGCATACATTCTTGTGTTAGCGAGTGTTTGCTTCGTGAGTATGTCAAAACACGTGGGTATGTGCGATATGGGCGCCATGAGCATACACCAGTGTGTGCAAACGGCGCCATACAAATGGACATCATTATTATTATTATATGTCAACTTCCCTATTTCCAGTAATTATGAACAGAAAATTAAAACGGAAACGAACGCTAGTTTTCTTTGGTTTGAAAATTAAGAACAAATATTCCCCCTTGTTTCATGTGCATTATTAATATTGGTACGTTGTGTTGATGGCATATAACGTGTAAAACATGTCAGGTAAAAAATCTAATACTCTATAAACAGAAACAAATTCAAATCGGCAACACCCGCTGTCAACGCAGGTGGAGAATTATTTCATTTTTTTTAAATTTTGAAATCGTCGTTAACAAAGCAGGTGACAAAGCGTTAGTAATTATCACATTACAAGTCTATGCCTTAATCAAAGTTCCCCATATCATACACGCTGATCGAGGTATGGTTTTGTTATTATGTTCGTCCCGGATCTAAATGAAATTATTATGTGTTTGTTAACACCAGCTTGAACAGGAACTCATTTATACTAGTTTGATAAGAAGCCCCATACTAATACGACCGTTGACGCTGTTACGAGTTTATGTTCAACAACTAAATACATCACTGCATACATCCGTTACTAAAACGACAGAAAAGAAGTTTTCAATCGATTACCTGATGCAAGTGTTGGTCTTTGTTGATGTTCGTGTTAACAATGTCCCGAGCAGGTATACTCTCAACAGGTGAAAATCTCAGGTGTGCAGTCGGTGTCGGGACGGTTTACTCCATTAAACATGCACGACCCGGCGTAACAGTGAGTCATGTGTCACTGTATGTATGGTCATATTCAGGAAACGACACTCGTTCTTGACTGTCGCTTGCTTACTGAAGTACACACCAATCGCACCTGGCGAGCGAAATGTGGTTCATGCCTCACGCAGTTACCTCCCTTCGACATGCAGTTCAGTGTTAAGTTTTCCATTTCTACGCGTGAGTGATTTAGGCTGCTGATAACAAAGCTATCCCAGGGTTCACTGCGCTTTTGGTGAAAACACAGGGAGAAATCATTGTTGCGGAACAACATGCGGTCTGTGAAGTCGAGAAGGTCTTTTATCTTGCGCAGTATTTTTACTCTTTGTCCATAGTATCACACACAATGTATAGATGAACGCTAGCACGTCCTAATAAAATATATATGAAGTACAATACCGATGTACTCATTGCGAAGAAATAAAAACGACAACCGATCCTATTTTTGAACGCGCGTTGTGTTTCTGTTTCTTTTAAAACGCTTTATTTCCTCGCGTTTCGATGGCTACATCTGCCATTATGACAAAGGTGAACGTATCAGATTTGGTCGCTTACGATATTTTGATACAGTTAAATAAACATGACCTAGATAACTTTACTGTTACTCATACCCCGTGATCAACATTATATATATGTATGTACCTGGAGCCCTCGGTGTCAACTGAATCACAAAAGAGTCATCCGTTCCCCCTATTCCTTTGTGGAATTTTAATTATCATGGGCATACCGAGAACATTCCACAACTGACTATATGTATACATATATCGCAATGAGATGTCCTTTGAACGCAATACTCAGAGATGACATTGACAATATGACGATGAGTGAGTGAGTTTAGTTTTACGCCGCACTCAGCAATATTCCAGCTATATGTAAATAATCCAGTCTGAACCAGACAATCCAGTGATCAACAGCATGAGCTGCGCAAAGGGAACCGGTGACATGTGTCAACCAAGTCAGCGAGCCTGACCACCCGATCCCGTTAGTCGCCTCTTACGACAAGCATAGTCGCCTTTTGTGGCAAGCATGGGTTGCTGAAGACTTATTCTACCCCGGATCTTCACGGGTCTATGACGATGAGGATAGTGGAACGTGGAGAATGTTATGACTGCACATATGTTTACAAGTTTAGTTTCAGGTAAATGAGGGTAGGGGACAAAAACCAGGACAGACTTTTCCGCACTCAGCAATAATAATATTCCAGCTATATAGCGGCAGTCTGTAAATAATCTAGTCTGGACCAGACAATCCAGTGATCAACAGTATGACTATCGATCTACGCAATTGGGATACGATAACTTGTGTCAACTAAGTCAGCGAGCCTGATCACCCGATCCCGTTAGTCGCCTCTTACGACATGCGTGGGATGCTGAAGATCAATTCTAACCCGGATCTTCAATGGTCTTGCGCTAACGTCACAACAGTCTGTCATACTGACCCTGAAACAAATATATCCAATAAAGCCCATGCAAGTTTATAATATTTGGTAAGCCTAGACTACTGCAGTTTCTGAAAATGAAGAAAGTCTTTGGGCTCCTTTCAATTACATTTTATGAAAATGAACCCGCGTACATTTCATGGACTAGATGTTAGTCTAACGGCATAACTATTGGTACCAGACTGTTAATTCAGTAGTTCTGTCCAGTAACCCTCCCACGGATATAGTTCTATCAAAGTGATCCAGCCCCATATCATTACACACCCACCCCCATCTGCCATGCTGTCTAACAATGACGTTCTGTTGACGCCCTTCAGGACGCTTGTATAGAGTCCGGAGTGAATCTGGACTCTATAGACCATTCTTAGCCAATATGCATGACCTCGAGGTCAAATCGAAAGCGAGGCTTAAATAGGTTGACCCAACCTTGAAAATGGCGACCTCGAAAAGGAAAGATTACTGCTGTGTGCCTTTGCGTGGGAGTGATGCCCTTCAGAAGAAGGCAGTGGTTGACGAAAATACGGAGAGATCCTGGAAAATGATTCATAGTAAGTACAAAATAATTACGGCACATGGCATAGTCTAGATCTGTCGTGAAATGTACAAACTGTTCACTATGCAAGGTTTTAATATTAGGGGTGCATGTACAATGTGAATGTCACACACACAGACACATTCAAACACCACCACCCCACCCCCACCACCCCACACACATTGTCATGTTCAAAATCCCCCTGCCTCCCAAAACAAACTGTAGGGGTTGGAGACACCCCAACCCCAACAAACACCGCACCTAAAATCATCATCACCCCCTAGTCATAAATTATGAACGGTCCATTATATTAAATTTTTTAAAGCATATGGACATATGGAGAGACTCTTGTCATGAAGGCAAGGGAATTTTATTTGCAAATATTCTGTATCAGTGAAATTAGATTGGCTGCAAATCAAAGTAACATTTCAAGTACATGTATATGCAGGACACACACATGCTGTTAAAAAAATCATAAATATGTACTTTCAAAATTACTGCATACTGACCAGTACTCCAGGGATACAAGACATATTACTGGACAATCTAATTACAACAACTGAAATATATATAGTGTTTGAATATCCATTTCAGATGCTGCTAATTCAGAGTCAGAGAGCATCTCACCAGCTCAGGAACCTCCCATAAGGAATCTACCAGTCACCATCTCAGATACAGTAAGAATACAGTAATATTATTTACATATAAAAATATTGATTGCCCATACTGTCTAAAATATGAAATGATGTTAGCCTCTACTCCTTGATGTATATTTGTAATTCCAGAGATATATTTATTGTTTGTGTGGTCGAAGAGATAATAGTGATGCTTTACAATGCTTATATTACAGTGAAGCAGAGAGTGATACAGCAGCCACTGACCCCCAGTCCTACATAGAACAACTCCAGCAAAATTACATGAACAGGAGAGGCAACTCAAGGAAAAGGTTGACAAAATAGAAAAATTGAACAGAAAACTTGAACTTGAAAAGTTTGGAGTTTGTAAATTCATGTATGATGATAAAAATTGATTGAACATTTTACAGTATTCCATCATTTCAAACATTGGCACTGATTAGCTGGAACTTTTTAATTTGTTGAATATCTTCCCAGGTTTTGTGAAGTACCTTGCCCAAACAGCACAATTTGACAGACATGAATGTAAATGAAATTGTTTCGTGCTTTTGTGTTGTGTAAATGCTGTGTACAGCTGTAATACATACACATTGATGGATTTAGCTGAATAATAGAAAGGTCTTTCAGAATGGCATAGTTGTAGATGTAACACATTTGCTGCTGTTTAATTAATAATTGATGAAAAAAATGTATTTCATCCTGTTTGAAAAGAGTTAGTTGGGAATCAGAAAAAAAAATCATTCATAGGTAAGAGATTATGATAATGTGTAAGGGGAGAAAACTATGATAAATTATGAATTGATCCAGCTGTAATTGTTGTCATTCATGTCAGACTAATCTGAAAAGATATTTCTATCAACATAAATACTGCACTTAATATATTTTCAATTTGCATCCTCTGAAAATTGTATTGTTATTTATCAGTGTTACAGTTGGAAGCTATTGTGAATGTGTCTATTGTTATTGGACTTTTAAGACACCATTTCAGAATAAATTTTTATTAACTGCACTCCAGGTGTTCGTTATTTATTTAGGTTAACTGTTTGCTGTAGTGTGAATCCTGTTATGTTAATCTGATAATATGTTCTCCTTAAAAAGGTCTTCAGTTACAGTGGTACAGAATAAATACACCAGATCTGCAATAAATCAATTTTATGGTATAGTAACACAGTATTGAAAAGTGTTTCAAATATTCCCCATGCAGGTACCATGAGTCCATTTAGGTAAAATAATTATTCATCTCCAAATCAGTCAAGAAAGAACTTGAAAAAAATCATCCAGTTTTGTCTTGCACTTTGTGTCCCACTCATGTTGATTGAATGAAATAGTTTCTACATGATGATGTGGCGATTCGCGTTTCCTCTGCGATTGTAACATGTAGTTACGCGCACATCGCCATCACTAGTAGGTACAACTGAAAATAAATGCGTGAATAAATACCTTATATATATAAAACAGAGTCGGTAGGACAAAACATTTTAAACAGAAAAAATACCAAACAAATAATTTCATCACATGAATAATACAATTTTGTTTGCTCCAGATCCACTCGAGGAAAGCTATCTTGATCTACATATATTACTTATAATCTCGATTATCCAACTCAAGAATTAACAACACTACTCCGATGTGGAAGTGGATGATTTGAATCCAGGTCAGGAAATACGTTGAGTCTTTTGCTTTGTTCATATGTTGATAAAGTAAACGTCATTGACTTCCCTTGGTAATATTTCCACTATTGTGACTTTAGAGTAGCTTCCCTTCATAAATGCTGCGCAACATGGTAAACGTAACCTAGATATCTAGGTCATATGACTTATCGTGATGTGTCGTGATGTACAGTAATTATTCACCCTTCAATCCGTGGATATGCTACAGAAACATTTTTGTAGCCCTTTCCCATTTCTCTGCGATTTCCCTGAACTACTGGACAGTTTCGTAATGTACCGTTCAAGGGAAATTTGAAACCAGGAAGTATACATTGAGATTCGTCGCCATTATGCGATTGTGTCCTTGCCCAATTTAGCCTCGTTTTGGTACAGATATGAATATTCATGAGGCCTCATTAAGAATGGTCTATTAGTGAGTGTGTTTAGTTTTACGCCGCTTTTAGCAATATTCCAACCAAATCACCCCCGGGGACACCAGAGATGGGCTTCACACATTGCACCCATGGTGGGGAATCGAAACCGGGTCTTCGGCGTGACGAGCGAACGCTTTATCCAGTAGGCTACCCCACCGACCTCTTGACTCTGTGAAAAACAATTACGGTACCATAAAAGAGACGTATGGCTGGTTCGTGTCGATTTGTTAACGGTGATTATAACACGTGGTGGACAATTATACAGCTTATATAATCAGCTGCCTGCACACAGTCTCTAATCGTCTGGTCAGTATCTTGAACACCGATGCCCTGGCCCAAGTGGACAACGGTTTGACCGGCTGTTTAGACTGGACATCTCACACCTGATTGTTCTGTATGCTAGGTCTATGTGGCTGACCCGAGGCGCCCTGTGAGGGACCGATCATTAACGTTTAGTGTCTGCAGAAAGGTGTTGCAAACCACAGACTGAGACACACTGAACCCACTAGCTACCCCTCGCTGTGCCAGTTTGATGCATGCACGTAGCCTCGAGGCGTTCATCACGTTATAGACAATCTGATCACAAATACTGCATGAAACAAGCGTTAACAGCTTACGTGTTACTGTGGATAATTGAAAACCAACGTACTAATTGCCCAGGGCGATTTCTCGACCTACAAAGAAGTGTCAAAATCTAGAATGACCGCCCACCCACGTGGTTGATCCACGTCCACGTCAGTGCTTCCGGTGTGGTAGAACGTCATGATTATATTATTTACTCTCCATATAAAAGGAGGGTCCGTGGAATACAATCGTCATGACAATTAGTCCAAACTTTATTAAAAAAACGCCAGTAATATCACTATACAGCCCAACAAAAGTGTATTTGTTGTTTCATCACATACATTGACTTATATTTATAACAGGGTACACGGACATAGATAGGTTACAGAGCCTACCCCGATGTGTGGCCCACGAGACACACAGGTTGGAACTTATTGTATGTGCCTGCGTCCAATTATATTTATGGTGTGTGTGCGTGCGCGCGCGCTTATGTGTGTTGTTATTTGCATAGAGCGACACTTCGATATAGATTCTAACTTTATAACGGTGTAGGAATCTGCATCTAAACGTCGCTCTATGCAAAGTTCTTATCCTAAAAATTGTAAAATTTAAATAAATAAACACACGTGTGTGGGGGTGGGTCAAAATAATAGAACGAGACTCCATGCTCGTTCTTGAGTATTACGTCGATAAAACATAACGTAATAGTGTATTATGAAAATACATATGACGAAGCATACAATTTTAAGGATAACAACTTCTTGTTAATTGTAAGATGATATTACTGGCGCTTCAATCACTCTCATGTATAACTCGAGGTTTGACTGCGTTCTTGAACTTAAGTGAGTGAGTGAGTATAGTTTTACTCTGCTTTCAGCAATATTCCAGCAACATCACGGCGGGGGACACCAGAAATGGGCTTCACACATTGTACCCATGTGGGGATTCGGCGTGACGAGCGAACGCTTTAACCACTAGGCTACCCCACCGATTTAAACCCTGAATTTCATACTGCTTATATTGCTGGAATATTACTGAGTGCGTCGTTAAACAACAAACAAACACACAAAAAACGCAGTGTTATTGATTGAGAAAGAGTTTTAATTTCATTAATCAATAAAATAACAACACAATATAAATTGATCATGAAAAGACATGAACTGATCATACGGCAACAAGTGTATATCATTAGGAAGAATTGTCTGATACAGACATGGGAACGCATCTACACAGCTACTAACGGCCCGCTGACACGCCAAGCAGTCTCCGGCCTGGCCCGGCTTCTCAAAGTGTTCTCAACGGTATGCCTACTGTAATTACAGTTAAAATATGGGAGACACAGATATCCTAGCACAAAGATCGATCTGTCATCATCCTGCGTGCTCGAATGCATGCAAATTCACAGGAGCCCGTCTACCTGTGAATAAAAACACTTCGAAGCCTCATTAAACGTGAAATCCCGGGATAGGAAATTAAATATATCCGGTTAACCGTAGTTCCAGAAAAACGGCGTGTCGATTCTGCACCAGGATAACGGTTTTGATGGGAGTTGCATTGCCTAAAACGATATATCATGTTAACCGTATTCCAAGAATAGTGAGCATGGTTTTACGACACTTTTAGCAATATCCCAGCAATATTACGGCGGGAACAAAAGACATTTCTTAGAGATTCCCCGGGCAGTGAAATTATTCTTTTCCAAAAATAGAAGAATGCATCTTTAACCGACCTCAAATCAGCATGTGATACGATTGCTGAAACGATCTAGGACCTTATAATTGTATATAACATTATTGTTTGTGTTAATATTCCAAAATAAATCCTAATACATTTATAAAACAGGTTCTTACAATCTTGACCTGTGAAAATCCGGGTTAGAATTGGTTTTCAGCAGCCCATGTTTGAAAGAGGCGCTAATGGATTCGGCATGTCATCGTACGGAAATAGCGATGGCGTCAATCACTGGATAGTCTGGTCCAGACTCGATTATTTACAGACCATCGTCAAATAGCTGGAATATTGCTAAGTGAGGCGTTAAACAACAACAAAAGCTCTTACAATCCTATACCACCTAAGGGGCGGTGGGGTAGCCTAGTGGTTAAAGCGTTCGCTCGTCACGCCGAAGACCCGGGTTCGATTCCCCACATGGGCACAATGTGTGAAGTCCATTTCTGGTGTCCCCCGCCGTGATATTGCTGGAATATTGCTAAAAGCGGCGTAAAATCCAAATCACTCACTATACCACCTAAATACCTTACATAATGTTAATTGCCTCCTCCCATTATCGCTGCGAGTACATGTATTGCACGCCATACAGGAAGAACACAGTACTGAAGTAACTGTACCATGGAAGGTCACGTGACCATATAGTAATTCTCGAAGCCATTTATATAAATGTCTGCTGGACAGGGGTTAACAGTGGTTAAACAGGATGTGTATGATTAGCGGATTATCAACTCATTAATATCATATTATTAAAACAATAGACGGTTTCAATCAACATTGGTTATGAATTGCTGGGTCACATCTTAATCCTTACAGTCATTCAGCCATCATGAATGATAACATTATCAGTTCGTTCCCAGAGCTAAAACAAAGGCAGGTTATGGAGCTTTGGCGAGTATTAGAGTTAGCATGACTACCAGAGGGGTTGAAACACACAAGAAAGAAGAGGCAAGAATTCGCACAAGGTGTGCGTAATATCGTGTATATTGCTCTTTTTACTTTTATTTTGTCAACAAAGAGCTAATATTATCTTTGTTTGCAAAATATTTCCCATATCCATTCACCGAACCAATCAACCCTATTGGAAAGATATGTTCACATTTGTAGCTTAACTACGAATTCTTTGTACCCATGTAACTAAATGCTCTCAGTCTGGACTGAAGGTGCAATGCTATATTGACAGATCAACCGTGCAGCCAGAGTAGGAATATTGCTTATATCAGTTACATAACTTGGGGCGGTATTGCTATATTTACCACAAGAATGTTTTACATTGTATGTTCGTCAGTGATTGCCAGTGTTTACAGATTCAAGAGAAAAATACTGCCAGGCATGAGAATGTACACACCATGTTTGATGGTGGATAGAAATGGAAAAACATGTTATTTGGTAAGAGTGATTATACGGGTCAAAATGGTGTGTTTTCGGGTTTTTTATGTTTTCATTGTTTCGGTGACTGTGGTATTTTTGAACGTATTTCGTTACATCCGATTTGAAGTTTATACTTTCTTCTGTCTGGCAGTTTATACGGAATAACATTTATCAATAAAGGCATGTCAATGGGGCTTTTACAAAAATAGTTCAGAATAATGTTTTTAAAAAAACAAACATATTACAACGTCTTTTCTTATTTTGACTTAAAACTAATCACAATCTAGTTATGATTGGCAGATAGTTTCAATGATTATTCTTTTCGATCTTGTATACCTGGATGTCGTAGTACAAAACAACCTTAGCGCTAAGACTACCTTAGGTCAATGTTAAGGTATGGGAGTAGCGCACCTTAGCGCTAAGACTACCTTAGGTCAATGTTAAGGTATGAGAGTAGCGCACCTTAGCGCTAAGACTACCTTAGGTCAATGTTAAGGTATGAGAGTAGCGCACCTTAGCGCTAAGACTACCTTAGGTCAATGTTAAGGTATGAGAGTAGCGCACCTTAGCGCTAAGACTACCTTAGGTCAATGTTAAGGTATGAGAGTAGCTTAGCACCTTAGCGCTAAGACTACCTTAGGTCAATGTTAAGGTATGAGAGAGTAGCGCACCTTAGCGCTAAGACTACCTTAGGTCAATGTTAAGGTATTGTAGAGTAGCGCACCTTAGCGCTAAGACTACTAAAAACTACCTTTAGGTCAATGTTAAGGTATGAGAGTAGCGCACCTTAGCGCTAAGACTACCTTAGGTCAATGTTAAGGTATGGGAGTAGCGCACCTTAGCGCTAAGACTACCTTAGGTCAATGTTAAGGTATGGGAGTAGCGCACCTTAGTGCTAAGCGCTAAGCACCTTAGCGCTAAGACTACCTTAGGTCAATGTTAAGGTATGGGAGTAGCGCACCTTAGCGCTAAGACTACCTTAGGTCAATGTTAAGGTATGGGAGTAGCGCACCTTAGCGCTAAGACTACCTTAGGTCAATGTCAAGGTATGGGAGTAGCGCACCTTAGTGCTAAGGCTGCTTTGTACAAGGGCCCCCATAACACACCAGGAAGGGACAGGGTACAAAGGCTAGTGTGGAAGTACTCTGGAAGTTTGGACGTTCCACGTTACAAATGAACATTGAGCGCCTGGAATGTATTTCATGAGGTCGTGGGTTGTTTGTGCGGGGATTACTTCTTTGGCGGAAGGACGTTGTCTCTGTACTGCCCGATGACGTTTCCGGGTGGTCTGTAGACGGCAACAACGATGACCTTTCCACCTTGACCTTTGGCCTTACCAACACCAATCTCTTTGCTCCCTTTCCAGACCACCTGAGTAAAATGACCTGTAACAAAGCATGAGTGAAATGATTCTCTTGGTTCTATCAGAAACTAGACTGACGCACAAAAGAAAGTACACATCTGGTGATTTGGGATTATTTTCCATAAACGAAAATATTTTGAAAAGAGTTACTTCGACATACAAGTCACTGTTGTGAAAAGGACACCACATATATCCCCTACAGTGATATTAGTGCAGAGAAAGTAGATGGTTTAAAACACAAATCATTCCCACACTGACTCGAGTTAGTGCAATATGAAGTTATAGCATAAAACAAGAATGGCTTCTAAGAAGGTCAAAGAGCAAGAGTTGCGCCCCCTGGGCATGCCGGAAATCTATGGTTGGTAGGTTGGTTGGTTGTTTAACGCCACACTCAGCAATATTCCAGCTATATGGCAGCGGTCTGTCAATAATTGAGTCTGGACCAGACAATCTAGTGATCAACAGCGTGAACATCAATCTGCACAACTGAGATACGATGACATGTGTCAACCAAGTCATCGAGCCTGACCACCCGATCCCGTTAGTCGCCTCTTACGACAAGCATGGGTTACTGAAGAACAATTCAAACCCGGATCTTCACGGGTCGGAAATCTATTATACACTGGAGTCGAATCCAGGTTTACAGTGTAATTGGATTTGTCAACGTGGTAAACATCTAGGCTATGTATGACTTTGGGCATTCCTACAACTTTTTTCTACTGTTCAAAAAGCGACTTGTTGATCACTGGATTGTCTGGTCCCGGCTCGATTATTTGCGTTAAACAACAAACAAACAAATCAAAGTGTCCTGAATCCAGCACACATTCTCAATGGCTATATGTTTGTACTTGAATCCCCTGAAATAATATCATCGGATCTGGATTTGCAAGTGTTGGGGAAAGAGGTAAACGTACCTGTTGCCATAGAGCGCTCCGACCTGTAGTCGTGCTTGCTGATTTCACTGTACCACTGGTCAGTCACCTCTTGACCTGCAACACACACGTGACCGTGTAGCAATCACGTCGCCCTGTTTTATGACATCATCGTCATAGGGTCAGAACGTCTACCGAAAATAACTTCTCGCTATAGGTGTCTTTGAATGCCGCCCAAAGAACAGTGGTTGATGACAATGAGAGTTTCTGTATTATAATTTGCCAGCATATAACCGTCATTAAACTTTATATAACGAACTATTAGCTGTAGCGGATCGAGGGCGGTGGGGTAGCCTAATGGTTAAAGCGTCCACTCGTCACGGTGAAGACCCATGTTCGATTCCCAACATGGGTACAATGTGTGAAGCCCATTTCTGGTGTCCCCCGCCGTGATATTGCTGGAATATTGCTAAAGGCGGCGTAAAACCATGCGTGAAGCCTGTTCCTGGTGTTCCCAGCCGTGCTAGAGCTTGAATATTGCGAAAACCGTCGTAAAACCACATTCACTAACTCACTCACTTACTAGAAAAATCTCCACCGCCGGTTGACCATTTACAGGCGATGTTTTCTCCAATCCTCTCCCCGTTGAATATGCACTGACTGTGTTGGAAGGTACCGGTAGATGCCAGGTGCTCCGCCCACTTCTGCGCATGCCCACTCAGCTCCTTGCTGTGCTTCAGTTTGGAGGCGCCATGTTTGTCTCGCAGCTTGTTGTGGACCTTCACCGCTCCGTCGATGAAGTCGCTCATTTTTTCGGGCTTTTTGGGCTTGCGTTCTTGCGAGGAATCGCTAGAGCTGCTACTCTGTAAACACAGATCACATTACATACACATCCAGTTACATGTGTGAGCTATCCGGAATATCTTTATGTTATTTTTTTCTATCTACATATTTTTATGGGATGTAGGTGTAATGATCCAGGCAGTTTAAGAAAGGGGAGTGCACATGATGCCCATTTGGGGGTGAATGTTGAGCTCAACGAAGGGGGGTGGTACACACTCCAAAACACAATAAAATATACAGCCCAAACCCCACCCAACTCTCCAAGGGGGGTGGTACACACTCAAAACACAATAAAATATACAGCCCAAATCCCACCCAACTCTCCAAGGGGATGGTACACACTCCAAAACACAACAAAATATACAGCCCAAACCCCCAGTCAACTCTCCAAGGGGGGATGATACAGACTCCAAAACACAACAAAATATACAGCCCAACCCACCCCCCAACCCCCAACTCTCCAATGGACGCCAACGTGTCATTTACATTGCGTATTGTACGCAGTTACACAGCCTATTCTCAGCATGAATACACTGAAGATACGGACAGTGTCCACGAGACTATGTACACATGTGAATACGTGTTTATTCAAAATAAGATCAATATGAAACTCAAATGTTTATGATCACGTGTAATTTAAATTGTATTTGTCAACTGTATCATAGGCCTTATGGCCCAAATACTACTGAATAAACTTCTCAGTTCTCAGGATACGTGTTGAGATCTATATCTGAAAAATCGATATATTGCAATGTGTGTTAGCTCTCCCCTCTGAGGACTCGGCTTGAAGTAAATATAATGAAGCTCAGCTCCGGTGTGACTCCCCCGTGAATGGCTAGTATATTGTCGCAATTCCCTACAGTAGTGAAGGTACCGGTTAGAAGGTTAGAACTGAACTTCACCAACCCATGCTTGCCGTAAGAGGCCACTGACACGTGACTTAGTTGACACATGTCATCGTGCCCAATTGAATATGTCGTTGCTCATGATATTGATCACTGGATTGTCTGATGAGGACTCGATTACTTACAGACCGCCACCATATAGCTGGAATGTTGCAGGGTGCTGCGTTAAACACTGAACTATCTTCTCACTCACTCATTCACTGACCGCCTCCGTGGTGTAGTGGTTAGAGCGTCCGCCCGGAGAGCGGAAGGTCGCGGGTTCGATCCCCGACCGCGTCATACCAAAAGACGTTAAAATATGGTACTTGTTGGTCCCTGTCTGGCGCTCTGCATTAATGGGTACAACAAGGACTGGTCGGCTCGGAGTCAGTATAATGTGTCTGAGTGGGGTATTCATGCTTCACTGCGGCATGGTATCTCAGTGGGCTAGCACTATAAAACCAGCTTAAGTCTGGGCTGTGCACATACACATACACACGCATGCACGTCGTCATATGAGCAACATACCCAATTTCACCTCACCTCACTCATTCACTCACTCACTCACACAAGCACCCACCACCCGCTAATGTCATGCTGCAACACGAACAGGACCCTTTCATCTGCGCGCATCCTGCACATAGACATGAAGGTTAAATCCACCACACACAAGGTAAGAGTTATCAGGGATAATCTACAATAATCTACGTCTTCTATTCTCCCTGGAGTTATGTATCATCGATGACTCCACGAACTGCTCAAGGACATCGATAATTGCCCCACACCACAAAGCGCCGAGTCAGCAAATTCGGCCAACGGTCACTCCAACCTGCTGACCGCTAGCTGGCCTGTCTGGCATCGATTTATTGACTTTGGTCAGTAAGGGCAGTGCAAAACAGGATGTTGTCCTTCGATAGCAATTAGACTGACTGAGTTTGGTTTTACGCCGCTTTTAGCAATATTCCAGCAACATCACGGCGGGGGACACCAGAAATGGGCTTCACACATTGTACCCATGTGGGGATTCGAACCCGTGTCTTCGGCATGACGAGCCAACGCTTTAACCACTAGGCTACCCCACCGCCCCGATAGCAATTAGAACATCTGCTGAGCGTCATGCCAGAAGATTCCAAGAATGCAAGTGAAGTAAAAAACTATTTGGGAACTTGTTAACAAGGAAACCGGACATTCAGGACGGTTCTTTCTGTTGACGGCGATATGTATTCAAAATGGCATCACCCGTACTAAGGATTCCTTAATCCGGACAACGCTTCTATGCGGATTAACGTGGTTATCACAAAACATGTTTTTTAATGACATGTATCTACACAAGTGGGTATGTTCGGGTTTGCGCTTCTCCTATATATTTTCCAGCAAAATCACGACGAGGAACACCAGAAATGGGATTCAATGTAGCCATATGAGGAATCGAACCAGGGTTATTGGCGGGAGGAGCGAACACGTTAACCACTTGGCCCTGTGAAGCCAGGGGAGCCTATTGTTCAGGTGTATTTATAATGGAGAAGGACGAGTGAGTGAGTGAGTGAGTTTAGTTTTACGCCGCATTTTTTAATATTCCAGCTATATGGCGGCAGCCTAGAAATAATCAAGTCTGGACCAGACAATCCAGTGATCAACAGCATGAGCATCGATCTGCGCATTTGGGAGCCGATGACATGTGTCAACCAAGTCAGCGAGCCTGACCACCCGACCCCGTTAGTTGCCTCTTACGACAAGCATGGGTTACTGAAGGCTCATTCTAACACGGACTTTCACGGGTGAGCAGGACGAAGATAGTGCTAAGTGTAAGTCCTATTAATCAATAACAGAAACTGCAGCATGTTGAGATGTGCATCATTATGAACATTAAAGAGTAACGACTTATACAGTTGACAACACTATAACAGTTTACAGTAGCTTGTAAATAGCTGACCTTGAAGAATTGTTATTCAGTAACCCATGCTTGTCGTAAGGTGCGACTAACGGATATCGATTTGAGGTGTGAAGCCAGGACGGGGTGTAGGGCAAGACGGGTGTTGAAAGAACGGATTGTATGGTAGAGATGGATTGTGGGGCTAGAGCAGGGTGTAGGACAAAGGCCAGTGTGTAGAGCAAGGAATGTGGGTTAGGACATGGTCGAGGTGTAGAAAAAGGACACTGTGTATACGGACTGGGTGCAAGACAGATGGGTAAGTATGTTCGGCAAGGATGGGTGTATGACAAGGGTGGATGTTGGGCAAGGATGGGTGTATGACAAAGGTGGATGTTGGGGTGGAATGGGTGTATGACAAGGGTAAATGTGGGTGGTATATGGCAAGGGTGGATGTTGGGCAAGAATGGGTGTATGACAAGGATGGGTGTATAAAGAGTAAATGTCGGGCAAGGATGGGTATATGGCAAGGGTGGATGTTGGGCAAGAATGGGTGTATGAAGGGTGGATGTTGGGCAAGGATGGGTGTATGACAAGGGGTAAATGTCAGACAGGATGGGTAGCAGAGGTATGACAATGACAAGGGTGGATGTTGGGCAAGGATGGGTGTATGACAAGAGTGAATGTAGGGCAAGGATGGGTATATGACAAGAGTAAATGTCGGGCAGGATGGGTATAAGGATGGATGTATATGGCAAGGGTGGATGTTGGGCAAGAATGGGTGTATGACAAGAAGGGTGGATGTTGGGCAAGGATGGGTGTATGACAATGTCAGGCAAGGGGTACATGTCGGGCAAGGATGGGTGAAGGATATATGACAAAAGGGGTAAAGAATGTGACCAGGACAAGGGCGGGTGTTGGGCAAGATAAGGATAAGGGTATGGGCATGGGTATGGGTGAAGGGCAAGGGTGGGTGTATGACAAGGGTGGATGTTGGGCAAGAATGGGTGTATGACAGGAGGGTTGATGTTGGCAAGAATGGGTGTATGACAAGGGTTGATGTTGGGCAAGAATGGGTGTATGACAAGGGTGGATGTTGGGCAAAGATGGGTGTATGACAAGGGTGGATGTTGGGCAAAGATGGGTGAAGGACAAGGGTGGGGGTTAGACCACGGAAGGCGAGGACTGGATGAGGGTGAAAGACTGCGGTGAAAGATGTGCGGCGGAGACGTGTCTGAAGGCAACGATCAGGGAATGACCGCGATGATCAGCCACAGTCTGGGCCTGCAGCCTGTGTTGAAAAATGTTTCAATGTAGCTTGATATCAATACACAATTATCAAGTTAAAACATACCATCTACTAATCTTACCTTCAGGATTTTCCGAAAATCCATGTTTTTCCTTAACATCTACAGATACACAGGCGCTGTATCTCTCTAAGCCCGCAGCCCAGACACATCAGAATATAAGCCCGTATTATTGATTTTCTGGAATCGCGGGGGGCCGTCAGTTTGAGATAAGGACCCTATAGCAACCCTAAATTACTGCAATCTCGGAGCACTTGCTGACGTTTCAGGCGCCATTAAGTCAGCACCGTCACTTCTGCATTATGTACGCAACACTGTTCAACTTTATTCCATGTCTGACGATAAACGGAACTAGGCACAAACAATGTATCTATTCGACGGTCAATGTGAGTGAGTATGGTTTTACGCCGCTCTTTGCACATTCCAGAAATAACACGGCAGGGGACACCAGAAATGTACCCACTCTTCCGCGTGACGAACCCGGGTCTTCGGCGTGACGCGCGAACGCTCTAACCACTAGGCTACTACACCGCCCGAAGGTCAATGTGAAATCGTTTGCTTTTTGTCCTGTTGTGGAAAGCTTCCTAGTTCCCAATCCCGACTGCTGACTTACAAGATGACTTACATACTGACTTACATGCCAATCGGATGGTGTTTTGTCATATTCTGATGGCGACAAAGTATGCTATATACTAGGGGTTTGCCTGGTTCAGAATCGATCATTCACACACGGTAGAAACAAAAGGTATCATTTTCTGGGTGGACGTTACAACTATACACAGGCTATAAACCAGAGGTTTGCCCGGTCCAGATTTTACCATTCATACACAACATAAAACAGAATTCATCTTTTTCTGGGTGGGACGTTACATCTAGCGTACACCTTTCGTACCTTTGATCGACCCTTCTTCTTCCCTTGCGGACTAGAACCTTTAAACGGAGATCTCCCGATGCGAAGTTTGCTCTGTAACAGACATTGTACTCGGGTAATGCGTTTATAGGTAAAACACTACATGCAAAAAGGGAAATAACTGATGATACTAAATGTCAGTTGCCTTGCTTGTTCTGTGAAATATTCACAAAAAACACTCTTACTTGTTCTGTGAAATATTAAAAAAAAACCTCTCCTATTAAAATCACATTCCTTTCTGAGTGAGTGAGTATGGTTTTACGCCGCTTTTAGCAATATTCCAGCAATATCACGGCGGTGGACACCAGAAATGGGCTTCACACATTGTGCCCATGTGGGAATTCCTCTCTGACACACAACAGATCAATGTTTTCACATAAGACACCACCAATATCATCACATATTTCACAGATAAATTGTCCCAATAATGAAGTCCTCAAAATGGTGTTTCCACAACATAGTCCCCTGAAAAGTAGTCACTTTGGACTTTCCTCATATTTAGATGACGAACCGTGATAACACTGAAACACATCCCAGTTACGTTGAGCCATGCTCTTTATACCAGTCACTGGTTTGTCTGGTCCAAGCTCGATTATTAACAGACCGCCGTCATGTAGCTGTAATATTGCAGCGTTTTTAACAAGAAACAAACATCTCTGAATTAGACCCATGTCAACCCCTGGATGTTGGCGTGACCAGAAACGGTACAGCTAAATACACACGTGTTTATCGTTTGGCATCTATTGTCTATTACATGCCTATAAGTTTTGATGACCAATCCAACTTGTAGTGATCATTCATGAGATTATTCAACATGCTCACATCAAAATCCCTGAAGGGTCTCCGGCCATAGCACCACTTGAGCCGCCATAACTACTAGTACTTCCGCCTGACGTCACTTCCTCTTTCCGGTTGACTATCTTCTCTCCGTCTGGTTTGATGATCGTCTCCTCTGTTATTTTCTTCGTGACCTTATTGGGCCCGACACCTTCCGTGACGGTAAACGTCCGGACACTTCTTGACTCCGACTTGTGGAAGCCCCCACTGCCCTGAGAGGGGTGACTAGAAAAAGAGCTGTCTTTGAAGAAGTCTTTGCGCATGTCTTCAAATCGAGTTTTGAAAGGACCTCCGCTGTCGCGTGACGTCACCACATGCCTTCCGCCATCGCTGAAACCGGCTGGCTTTGTGTCGGCTGAAATCAGAGAAACAATATATTCTGTGTTATCCGTTATAGGAACGTGGCCTGGTGTTTAGTATTCAGTATAAAATACCCAGAGCTTCAATTCACAAAACAATCTTAGTACCATGTCTATTTGTTGTCGTTGTTGTTGTCGAACGCCGCACTCAGCAATAATCCAGCTATATGGCGGTTTGTAGATAATAGAGTCTGGACCAGACAATCCAGTGATCAACAGCATGAGCATCGATCTCCACAATTGGGCACGGTTATCGTTACTCCGATGCTTCAACACTGACTTACAGTTAAACAGTTTCGTCGAACGAGGCCTTTAAGCGTTAATTGCTAATTTGTACAAATCCTAACGCGAGTGTTTTTTTTGTAGAGGGGAACAGACGCTTACATCAAACTTGCTAAGACAAGGGTCCCGTTTCACAAAGCGATCGTTGCGAAAGGCTTCGTAAGTCTATAATTAAAACACCATGTCAAACCATACGAGTCGTAACCTTTCACGAAACCTGCATGAAACGTCTTCTATTTTCCGAACACCAGATATATTTATATGTGTGATAAACAAAGTACTCACGGGCTTTTTCCTTGATTACAATTTTGCCGTCTTTTGGTGGGAGGACGTTCCTGGCAAAGTCCCCCCATCATGTTGCCGGCGGGGCGATAGTTGGCTACCACGATGATCTTTCCGTCCCGGGTCTGGGCCTTCCCCACCCCCACCTCCTTGCTGCCCTTCCATACCACCTGGGTGAAGTGACCTGCAGGTGACACACGTAATAGAGGTATGTTAGCAACTGGCAACCTACCCCTGGTTCCATTCGCCAACACAGCTTCGTTTCAGAAGTGACGTCATGAGCTCCCTGTCTAATATCGGTAACATAGCACAGAATTTCTCTCGCTCATGAGAGTTATCTGATTGGATGGCTATCTCTTTAGTCATTGACGTCATACTTCGGTTCACCAGGACAATGTGACGTCACTGGAGTGTTGTGTCCAGAATATTAATCACAATATAATTTAGATTTACACTAGGTGATCGAGGATGTAGACTGTCGTCTAGACAAATATTATAGATTAATATGATGACCTGTGTTTCGAAACTGTGCCGCATTTCCATATTGACAAACCTGTGTTCTTTACATGCGATGTTTACCTGAGCTCAAGCTTCGTGGTTCTCCGCCGAATGTATGCATCTTCACCTCGCTATACCACTGGTCAGTGACCTCTTGACCTGCAAGACGACGTGTCACATATTTCAATCACATTATGATAACTTTCCGAATAATATTTTTTTTCCATTTATCCATTCTTTGATATTACTCGAGAAACAATCTTGCTGTGTTAAAAGCAATACTTTGTTAAGAAATATATTTTGAGTTTGACCATCTACGAAATGGATTTGGCCATTCAAATCAGCAAAGAGGCTGACATCACATGAAAACGAACGGTAAGTATGTTGTTTGTTCTATCACAGAATTTCTGCAAAGGTTTTCCAAAGGTTATGGTCTTTCAAAACATCCAGTGAGGTTTGGTGATCCAGGCAGGGGCGTAGCTACCATCACACAAAAGCCCGGGCTTACACGTGATTGTTGCTAAATAGGTTGGGCAAGCCCTCAATACTATCTAAATATAACGCTTAGCAACCTATCGGGCTTACACCAAAAAATGGCTTCCTACGCGCCTGCCAGAAAACCAGTAAATGTTTTCTTATTCTTTTGACGTGGTTCATAACCGATGTGCGTGCGTGCGTGCGTGTGTGTGTGCGTGCCACTGATATGTGGTCCTGAGCGACGTTATACAACGTCATCCTGGAAGCCACTCCAACGTTATCGAAGAAGCCAGGTCGAGTTCTGAAAGTTTACCTGTGTATGCGTCAGGTCGAGTTCTGAAAGTTTACCTGTGTATGCATCAGGTCGAGATGACCACTTCATGGCGATATTCTCCCCCAGTTTTTCTCCCTTCAGAGAGTCGTTGCTGTGTTGGAATGTGTTAGTTAAGGCAAGATGGTCCGCCCACTTCTGAGCCGTCGATGACAGGTCTTTGCTGTGCGATAGTGGCGACGCCTGGTGGCGAGATCGGTACTCGTTGTGAGCCTTGACAACCTCGTCTATGAACTTCCGGTCCGACATGTTTTGTCCCTGAAAATGAAAAACATAATTGTAGCTATAAAACATGAAATTCCTGGTTCCAATATCTGGTGCGTTATTTGTATCACTCGTAAAGGAAGCTAGGCGTTATAACGTACGGTTAACGGTATTGATCACCGTCTCTGGTCAGTGAAGGCGCTTTTAACACTTGTATTGTTTTGTGTCTTCGTTTATTTGGTGACCCAATTAAATCTTGTAGGACCGACCATCAACTGATTTTAACCCATTATGATACCACAGCTGTGATTTTCTAACACGGCTACGTCATATGACTCGAAAAGACGGTACTTGTTGTCAACCTTCCTGGCGCTCGGCGTTAAGAGACCGCCTCCGTGGTGTAGTGGTTAGAGCGTCCGCCCGGAGAGCGGATGGTCGCGGGTTCGATTCCGTTAAGCCCAATGATGATTTCACCTCCCCTCACCTCGGCGTTAAGACTGACTGACTGACTGAGTTTGGGTTTTACGCCGCTTTTAGCAATATTCCAGCAACATCACGGCGGGGGACACCAGAAATGGGCTTCACACATTGTACCCATGTGGGGATTCGAACCCGGGTCTTCGGCGTAACGAGCCAACGTTTTAACCATTAGGCTACCCCACCGCCCCTCGGCGTTAAGAGAACAAAACACGGATTGGTCGCCTTGTATTGTTTTTGTTTGACATAAAATATAACACACTCCCTCACTCTTTGTACAAGCACATATACGAGCTGTTTGTTCGTTGGTTGGTTGGTTGGTTGTTTAACGCCACACTCAGCAATATTCCAGCTATATGGCGACGGTCTGTAAATAATCGAGTCTGGACCAGACAATCCAGTGATTGATACCATGACCATCGATCTATGTAATTGGGATACGATGACATGTGTCAACCAAGTCAGCGAGCCTGACCACACGATCCCGTTAGTCGCCTTTTTGACAAGTGGTTGCTGCAAAGCAATTCTAACAGGGATGTCAGAGTCAGTATACTGTTTCTTGAAACGGTTTTCGTGTAAAAAACTACCGAACGATCTCTCATTGGGCTAGCAGTATGCAACCGACTTTGGTCCGGTGAGTGAGTGAGTGAGTTTAGTTTTACGCCACACTCAGCAATATTCCAGCTATATGGCGGCGGTATGTAAATAATCCAGTCTGGACCAGACAATCCAGTGATCAACAGCATGAACATCGATCTGCGCAATTGGGAACCGATGACATGTGTCAACCAAGTCAGCGAGAATGACCACCCGATCCCGTTAGTCGCCTTTTACGACAAGCATAGTCGCCTTTTATGACAAGAATGGGTTGCTGAAGACCTATTCTACCCCGGATCTTCACGGGTCACTTTAGTCCGGACTACTACAGACAACCACAGAGACACATGCAAGTCGTTATTTATGTGTAATAATCATAAACTCATCTTTACAACACATTTCACGTCATTTAACTCATATACAACGGTGACGCCTCGAGTTTATAATATAATAATACCGATTTAATTCAATGGATTTGTTTTATTATCAGAGCATATCTGAGGTTCCAATGCCCGGCCATCGGATCCTGACACGACTGAAGGACACAACCCTGCCAAGCGGATTGCACTTTTTAAGTTTTACTTTTACAATAATAGCTCAGAATTATTTATTTGATTGTTGTGAACGTTTTTTCATATGTGTTTTAATTATTATAATCACCGCTCGCATGTTTACTGTGACCGGATGTTCTGCGACCCTTATAACAACAGGGCATTACGATGACTCACTGACTGAGTTTGGTTTTACGTCGCTTTTAGCAATATTCCAGCAACATCACGGCGGGGGACACAGGAAATGGGCTTCACACATTGTACCCATGTGGGGATTCGAACCCGGGTCTTCGGCGTGACGAGCCAACGCTTTAACCACTAGGCTACCCCACCGCCCCGCATTACGATGAAGCATACCTGACCAGTGTGGACGTTTTGACTGCAAGGGACTCACATTATGACGCGACAAAACGGAAAGATCTGTTTTCCCGCGTGAGCGGGCATCTCATTGTTAACTATTTAGGGAAGTTGACCTTTATCATAAATTGTAGTTATGTAATGTGAATAACGAACTGCTTACGTTCGAATTCGGTGCTATAACAATGTAAATATATATATATGCTTTTGAATAACATTTGGACTTTGGACTTAAAACTTTTATAAATTCACACTTGATCCCGTCACTATATGGCTGGAATAATGCCGATGTGACGTAAAACCCAACTCAACTCAACTCAACTCAACTCAACCCAGTCATATCGTGGAGTCTTCACACGGCGGAAGTTTGTGAAATCGAAGCGTCCATAAAATCCAACTGTGACAGGAATAGGCGTCTTTTAATGAGTGTTCATGGGACAAGGATGATAAGTGTTTGTCCATAGGTTTGTTCAGTGACGTTTACGCGCAAGGTTTCCGCAGTCACAACCTGGGATATCAACAATGTGTAATTACGTCATATAATCTGCACAATGACACACTTTGATTTTTTTATCTATACCTTAGTCAACACCTAACAAATTGATGAACACAAAGACTTTTCTAGATTTCATCTTCTTTTCATTCTTTGATACAACGTTTCGGGGCCTGTTCCGGCCCCATCATTAGGTAAAACTAATGAACAGTAGCTGTTAATTGTGCCCATGACGTCACAATGCTATGACGACGCAATACATATGGATGTTAGAATGGATACAGCTTACAGGGCTAATAGAATACATGTTATGAATATATGAAATATTGTTTAATGCAACATTATTGGATTAATGCAGAAATGTACAGATACTTATTAATTAACAATCCTAGCTCAGGGCTAAATGACGAGCTCTTCCGGTGACATGTCTGCACCCCTACGTTCAGATGCACGTTGCCGTGAAAACAAAAGGTCTATAGTTTGAAGACGGTGTACGTTCGGATTAAACATTTTCTCTATATTATTTTAGTTACGTCTGTGATTAACGATAACCATATGGGGGCAATGTGAACGTCGCATTTCTACTGCCAACGTAAGTCTAGATCAGTACATTCAGATGAAGCTGACTAGTCGCGCGACATTCCACGGATGCATTGTGCGAATGTAAAGATTGTTTGATTGGGAGTCGAACTGGGATATTTTATCCGTCGAAAAATATAAACGTAATGTTTACACCAGTGATGTTAGACGAGTGAAGCACCTACAAACCAAGACACCGGGTGCTACGGAGTAGCTTACTATAGGAGGCTGTACGAGGCGATGACATGATTGACATCTGACATGCATCCTGACGTCAGTTACCAAAGGGTACGTTTGATAACGAGGGGGAAGACGAGAATGGCGTAGCGACGCTAATTACATTGTGACGTCATGAAAAAAGTGCACATTATCGTCTGATAAAGTACTGTCGGCGCCTTTGATCTTTCACCGAAGCATCTTAGAATGTTCGTTATAGCTAAAATGGATAGAATTATCATTAAAATGCCCGCATGTTATCAGAAATGAGCGGGCCACTGTAAATTGATAATGCCCCTAAATTGCCTGACGATGGGCCATTATCATGCCCGTTGTTAGGTGACGTCATAAGGAGCTCAGCTCTTGATGTTCAATCACCTACGGCTCGTTTGAACTTGGGTTTAATTTTGACGATATGTCTGACTCACATTCGTCACATGTACCTGTGCCATTATGCACTTTCTTGCCGGTGCCAACCTTAACAATTGTACCATAAATTGCAAAATGCAGCAATGAAAACATCGACTGGAAGTCTAACGTTGTTGAGTACTAAAAAGGCGGCTGGTAGTTTGGGCAAGGTCAAGGTCGAATGTCATCACTCTCAATAGTGACGTAATATGTTTTGTTCTATGAAGTTTCCATATTTGTAAAAAGTGGGTCAGTGACCTCCGTCGTTTGTTGTTAGCAATAAATGCTTCAAAACCGATGCCGTTGTTGGTTTTTATTTTCTTAAACATTCTATCCATTTTAGCTATAATAACGGTAACGCTATTTTTCAGGGCTTTTTTTCATTGGCAGAAGCCCTCGGTCTTTCCAACTGTAAATGAAAGACCTCGTGCTTCTGCAAATGATAATGCCCTGAAAAATAGCGTTACCCTTATATAAGTTTACCTGATTGTTTTGATGGTGTCGAATACTTCGGGATATGATAGTAAATCATCAAGCCAATGAGTCTAATACCTGGATCCGTTCAGTCGCTTCTTACGACCATCATTGGTTGACGGGGACTAGTTCTAATTGTACACTGTATATGGAGGCTTCGCCCTGCAGGAGACTTGCACCCATTATGAACTCAACATACGCGGATGAAATGAGTGTGATTCGACAGATTCTTCCTTTTCCTTTCATAAAGTAATGGTTGACGGGTTAGAACTGCCTAAATATCATTATGATTTTTCAAGTATACTGACATCCTAATAATGTTTACGTCTGGGTGAGTGAGTGAGTGAGTTTAGTTTTACGCCGCACTCAGCAATATTCCAGCTATATGGCGGCGGTCTGTAAATAATCGAATCTGGACCAGACAATCCAGTGATCAACAGCATGAGCATCGATCTGCGCAATTGGGAACCGATGACATGTGTCAACCAAGTCAGCGAGCCTGACCACCCAATCCCGTTAGTGGCCTTTTACGACAAGCATAGTCGCCTTTTATGACAAGAATGGGTTGCTGAAGACCTATTCTACCCCGGATCTCCACGGGTCTTACGTCATGGTGAAATAAAGATACTTTAGAATAGAGTCAGCTAGTACTCGTCCAGACTGGACCCGTGAAGATCAGGGTTAGAATTAGCCTTCAGTAACCAATGCTTATCGTAAGAGACGACTAACGGGATCGGGTGGTCAGGCTCGCTGACTTGGTTGACACATGTCATTGGTTCCCAATTGCATGGATCGATGCTCATGATGTCAATCACTGGATTGTGTGGTCTAGACTCGGTTATTTACAGACCTCCGTCATAGAGCTGGAAAAAACAAACAAGTAACACAAAGCGCGTTTTCCTTTCAAATTAAATCTTCTGTTGAGGAATCCCGGAGGAATTGTAGAGAATTCTGTAACGCATTCAGCCTTAAGAGGGACCATTTGATGTAGAGAGAGGGATGTGGAACAATAAAACTGTTATTTTACCAGAAATATCAAACATGTCATTTATATACTCAACATCAAACAATCTTTTAAGCTCCATCCCGACAACCCAGAAACTGACCTCTGTTGTTTTGGATCGCGGATCCACACAACTTAATCGTTAAATACCCAGCGTCATACGATTAGGGTCAACGCCGTTATCTACGACATTCACACCGGAAACGACGGAATCGTCAGCTTCCGGTTTCCTTGTTGGGAGTGTAATCTTTGTTGAAACGTATACAACATACAGTAGAACACGGATATAACGAACTCCAAGGGACCAAGAAATTTAGTTCGCTATATCCGGTGTTCGTTATTCACATTTGACCGCCATCTTGGATTGTAGAGATGTAGAGACACGTATATGCTGAGGCTACAAATCTTTATTCTTGTACATGTACATTGACATAACATTAAAATTCTGAATATATCATTCACAGACATTAGCTAGAACATGTTTAACAATCACAACAATCTCAACAATACATGTATATAACTTAATTACGTTTAACAAAGTCCACAATTTTGCTCTGCACACCACGTCTTGCAGACTTCATTTTGTCAACTGCTTCACAGACATCTGCAAGAGGGTCGAAGATAGAATTATCTGTACCTTCACAAACAAGTAGATGACGTAGTGTCTCTAATGCTGCATTGGCCTCAGCAAAGGATGGCTTCGGGCGAGGTTCATCATCTTCACTATCAGAGTTGGGAGCGGATGTGACAGTGGGCGTGGCAAACTGCTGGGCTACTGACGTCACAATCTCGTCTTCAGTAGGGCGTTCGAGACATCTGCGCTTTGTTTTGTTTGCCTTGGTTTTTACAGACACGTAATATCAACACAGTTACATTATGTTTTACCTGATTTCCTGTAAGATTGACCAAGTGAGTGAGTAAGTATGGTTTTACGCCATTTTCAGCAATATTCCAGCAATATCACGGCAGAGGACACCGGAAATGGGCTTCAGCGTGACGAGCGAACGTTTTAACCACTAGCCTGCCCTGCGAAACAGGGAAGGCGTGTGGCATCGGTTTATCGCCGCTTTGAAAGCGCCCTTCTTAAATCGTCCTGCCCGTGAAGATCCGGGTTAGAGTTGGTCTTCAGCAACCCATGCTTTCATGCTCGATGACTTAGTTGACACATGCGATCGTATCCCAAATGCGTAGAACAATGCTCATGATGTTGATCACTGGATTGTCTGGTACAGACACGATTACTTACAGACCGCTGACAAATAGCTGGAATATTGCTGAGTCCGGCGTTAAACAACAATCCTAAATCGTCCGTATTAACAAAGCTCCGGAAACATGGTGTTGGTGCAATGACACCTTGCGAGCCATACTGTCGGGTCACTGTGACCTCATGTGTACATGTAGGCGTTGCCGGAAGTACGCCTCCGGTAGGTGGGATTTCAACGTATTTTAGTTATAGGACAACATTAACGTTAGAGGATTAACAATAAACTGTCCCAGGTAGTAAACGTTTCATGCGGACCCGGCTTTCGGTTTAGAATTAATCTTAAGCGACCCACGTGGTCGTAAGGGGCGAGTTGTGGAATTGACTGGCCAGGCGCGCTGGCATGGTTGATGTTTGTCATCGCATTCAAATTGCGTGAATCGATGCTCATAGTGTCAATCACTGGATTGTCGGTTCTAATATTACATGCCACCGTCATATAACTAAATATTGCTGAATGTGGTGTTGATACTCAAACAAACAAAACTTTCAAGCGAATCCAGGTCGGTGACTTTACAGATCAGCGAATCCTGCATGCCTTGGGATGTTTACGCAGTAATCAGAAACATTAATTCCAGCTATATAATGATGGCCTGTAAAACAATCCATTGTAAACAATAACGAAAGTGATTTTCTATTTTGTTTGGTTTGTATTATTTCTACACGATATATGACAGTTGTCTGTAAAAACTCGAGTCTGGACAAAGTAATCCAATAAACCAGTGATTAACATCATGAGCATGATGAGTGTGACGACGACAAACATCCCCCAAGGCAGCGAGCTCGACCCCGTTAGCCATTCTATATATGATAAGCATGGGTTGGTAAGGTCAATTCCAACACGGTTACGAAAGCGATTGAAATCATAACAAACGTCACATCCACAACAAACAAATCCACACATCCATTTAGTCGCCTCGTCTAACAAGCATCTGTTGCTAGGAACTTATTACGGTTCCTAGGAACGTTTGATTAAATATATGAATTATATAACACAATAAATAGGGAATGCATTTCACAACAAGGAAATAAACTCCACTTCCTTACTGAATTTGTTTGTTACAGTTAGCTGGGCGTTCACCGGAAGACACGTTCTAGTAATAACTAAATTGTACTAACCTGAAATTTGGGAGAAATTTGTATTTTGAAGGTTGATCGCGACATGGTGTTGGTAACTGGTCCCGATGTAGCCAGGGTTTGGTGGATAATGTAGATATGGAGCTAAGTGACAGCACAGTTTAGTTCCGTCTTACCAGCTGAACTGAGGTCAAAGGTTACAGTGACACGCGCGGATTGGAAACACTCAAGTGGAGTTCGTCCTTCATCTTGTGATGGTTAATCATGCCCTGATTCATCTTCCATGCATACTTAACATATAATGATGCATCTAAATTTGGTATAAATTGCGCTTGATGGCATCCGGTTCTCGTCACTAGTAACGGTGGTAGTTAAATAAATATATACACCACAGACAGCGAAAATATTAAGATAAGATACTTCTAGCATGTATTTCTTGCGTTTGTACACCCATCCTTGGTTTTAAAGAATCTTTATTCACTTAGGTGCCTGCTTTACTTGATTAACAGGAGATGATGTTTCGGGTGTACTATTTGAATATATCTTTATCGCCAGGAAATAATCTCGATTACCTCCCGAAACTGATTCCACTGGGCCTGAGAGACAATAAGTAGATGAAAATTATAGGAATTGATTTTTGAAAACCAGCCATGAGACTGTTCTTCGCGAAAACATGATTTAAAAGTCATCACGTGTTCGTCATATGACCGACTACCGGAAACCGGAAGTTGTCCCACACTGTAACAACGCTGATGATAAGGGTGTTTGACCTTGACCCCAAAGGTGCCCCACCCATCATTACAGTACCCAGTGAGTATAATGACAAACATATACTGTTGCTATCACTGTTTAAGTGCACGATCCAGTCCAGTCACCATCTGTGTCATATGATACTGATGTTTAAGCATTATAGAATGATGACTGTCATTTTAGCCACAGATTATATTTGATTTGATTTGATTTGATTATTTGGGGTGGCACTGGTTGACTGACGCTTAGTCTCCGAAAGTATAGATTTTTTACCGAAACAAATAATTCCACTTAAATTGAAAAGGTGACCTATTTTAGAAGATTCTCCAAGATTCAGAACCTGAATAGCGAGTGAGCGAGTTTGGTTTTACGCCGCTTTTAGCAATATTCCAGCAACATCACGGCGGGGGACACCAGAAATGGGCTTCACACATTGTACCCATGTGGGGAATCGAACCCGGGTCTTCGGCGTGACGGGCGAACGCTTTAACCACTAGGCTACCCCACCGCCCCCAGGAACCTGAGAAAATATAGACCTGCTTCAATTAGGGCTTTTGCAATGCAGAAACGGTTAGGCGGAGGGAAGGTGGGTGGTTCACGGACACACAGACTACCGCTGCCCTCACCGCAGAGGACGTCAATTACGTCCCACCCGTAAATACACGAGGATGGTCCAGGAATATGGAAACGCGGGCGAATATAACTTTATGTTATCTAACAGTTCCCAGCTTAAGCTGTCGAACATGGCCACACCATGTCTGGGGGGAAGAGAAGCATTAGCTTTCTCGTTTTAAGTATGATTTGAGGGTGTTAGTTTTAAGAGCAAAATAATCGCGATTGGAGTAGTTCCTTGTGCATTTTGTTAGTTTAAACACTTGCAAAGTCGTAATAATAGATGCCAACTAAAATATTGACACATGCTACCTAACACATGCTTTCTGTATGTATGTGTATGTGTATATGTGCATGCGAGAGTGCGTGCATATGCACGTGGAAAATTTGAGTGTTAAGTTCACCTTATTTGCTCACACACGTTTCGAAGTATATCACACTGATACCGGAAAGAGCCCAAGTGAAGCACAATCCAAAAATCACAATCGCGTTTATCGAGTTACATACGGTAATATTTCCCAGTCAGTCATATGAAACAGGGAAAAGGTCCGTCAGTTCAGCGCGACACCTATGAGTCATCGATGACAGCAATTCAGCCAGGGGTGGCAGCCAATGAACGGCTCTAAGCGGACATGATTTAGTTTTCCCAGTCAAGCATGACCTGCGAGATATGTGGGGGCATATATCAGCTGTCAGTGAAAGCGTCATTCAGATTACGTTTGTCAATAGCATACTATCTTCTAGAGAGCATCTCCTTCACCAATATTTACACACCAAGTAGTTGTATATCGACAGTAGTTCTGTGCATAAAAAGTTGAATAGCAATCGTAACAAGCATACTTCTGTGACCTTGTATTTATACGCTTGTAAAACGAAGGTGAAAGTTCAGACTTGATTCTGAATTTACAAACTTGCTTACACAGCAGAAATGCTCACACGTTATTAACCCATTCGACTGTGACAGAAATACACATTACAAAATTGCATCTTAAAAATGATGGCGAATTTGCAGTCCTGTCTTATCTAACATAAAAATACAACTTTGTATGAATTAATGTGAGCTTTGTTTTTTTAACATTTTTATATTTCATGGTTACGGTGACCATGCTTCAGATTGATAGATCATACTAACTTGTTATGCCCCGCAACAACGAAGTTGCGGGGGATATAGAAACGAGTTCCGTGCGTCCGTGCGTCCGTGCGTGCGTCCGTCACACTTTGTCAGAAGCATATCTCCTAAACTATTCGTGATAGCTTAACCAAACTTGGTACAATTATATTTTTTGCGGTTTCCATGGAAACATGACTTAGGCTGTGGCTATGAGGATGTCATCTTGTCCGGAGCAGATCTCCTAAATTATACATGCTAGCTTCATCAAACTTGGTACACATATCAAGTATGATCCCTAGATGTGCCTTTTGGGGGTTAGACCCAGATATGAATTTTATTTCTTGTGGTCTCCATGGCAACAAGTTAGGCTTCAACTGAATTTGGTGGTAGTGCTCCTTTCTGGAGCAGATCTTACAAACCTTTCAATACTCTCCTTCCACTTCGCTGTATACACTCCAAAACATTTGACATAATCATAACTAGCAGACATATTCATAAAGAGTATTTTACCGTTGCGGGTGATATTGATGACTTTGTCTTCTTGTTTCATTTGTTATGTTAACGTCACACTAAGCAGTATTCAAGGTTGGTTGGTTGATGTGTTGTCGCAATCAGCAACATTCCAGCTATATGGCGGAGGTCTGTAAATAATTGAGTCTGAACCAGACAATCCAGTGATCAACAGCCTGATCATCGATCTACGTAACTGGGATACGATGACATGTGTCAACCAAGACAGCGAGCCAGACCACACGATCCCGTCAGCCACAAGCATGGGTTGCTGAAGACCAATTCTAACCCGGATCTTCACGGGTCAGTATTCAAGGTACACATATATACATTATGTATAATATGTATATATTACAGAGGCCTGTAAATAATGGAGGCTGGACCAGTGACTGATGCTACGAGCAACGCTTCACACCTTCTGGATACGATGACGCAATCAACAAAGCCACTGAATGAGGCCACCCGATCCATTATGCCGCCTCTTACGTGAGTGGGTGTGAGCGAGTTAGTTTTACGCCGCTTTTAGCAATATTCCAGCAATATCCCGGCGGTGAACACCAGAAATGGGCTTCCCACATTGTTCACATGTGGAGAATTGAACCCCGGTCTTCGGCGTGACGCTTTAACCACTAGGCTACCCCACCGACCCTCGGCTCTTACGACCAGCAGAGGTAGCTGAAGACCTTTTAGACCCGGAATACCCGGGCGTGTTTAAATAATCACAAATAGAAGTCAGACCATCTAGTACTCCTAAGTTATTTTATGACATTTTTATTAAGATATAATTCATATTAAATGCTATATACCAATTTTAAGTGACTTGGAAATATTACTCAGCAGACTTTTGATAAGGCGACAAGTCATTAAAACTTCTACAGCGGAAGATCAAAGGGTACAGCAGCACGTCATACGGCCTGAACGTCGTAAACGGCGAGGAATATATCCCTGTAAAGTGTCGACCAGGGTATATCACGCACGTTATTGATAGCCGCTTACGGTACAGGGACGTCGTCAATCCGGTGGTGATTGACGGTTTGGCGAGCACAGTGTATTCATTACTGGGAATGTCAATACCAGTAGCATTCCGCAACTCAGGGGTAATTATATCCAGTATAGCGTTGTGTTTGATATAGAGTCAGTTTGAGTGAGTGTTTGGTTTAACGCCGCTTTCAACAGTATTCCAGTTTAATGTGAAAAGCTGAGGATCTACCATGAATATCATTAGTGAAACCTAAGAGCATGGGTATGATCCTGACAAAACTTAAAAAGACTTGGGTGGAAACGGGATTCGAACCCACGATCGCGAGTGTCTGGCGTGCCAATGGAGGCAACTCTGCACAATTTTGATTGAAACAAATAATTCCATTTAGAATTGTAAAGATGCCCCAGTGGAATGGGAAATTCAGCCTGAACCTGAGGAAAATCTAGACTTGCTCCATTTATAGCTTTCGTATTACAGAAAGGGTTGAGTGGAAGGGTAAAGAGTGAAGGGAACAACAGCGCTTTAAACGAATGGGCCAGCCGCGATACCGATTCTCTGTGATATAAACTATACGATCATATAATCATGTTACTTCATAATTTATTAACAGTTACTCAGACGCGACTTCATTCTGGCACTTTAAAGCGAATTATTGGTATGAAGTACATATGCTAAATATATGTGAAGAACGTTGCATTTAGCAAATTTAATTTATCCATAAAATATAAACATTGTTCGTGTTATGAATGGAAGAAAAAGCGTGTGAAAGCTGGTTCAAACAATATTCAGCAATATAACAGCAATGTACTTCAGGAAGAGTTAAGTTTTTTAACATAATAATACATTTGGGAATCGAACCCGGGTCTTCAGTGTGAAGAACGATTTAATCACTTGGACACCAGTCCGGATCGATATTCTGTTCACAATCATAAATGCCCGTGGTCTTTAACAATAAGTCGAGTACTACAACGGATTCCCCTGTATTGTAAAATCGACCTGTGGTATAAGAAACTTAGCGGTTATATTCTAGTCCACATATCACTCGGGGCTATTGACAAGGCTTAACCTAGTTATACACAAGCCATGATCTGTTGACCTCTTTTCAATAAGCATTGTCAATTCAGCAACACATAACCCCTCGCAATAACAGCTTAACAATCACTGTTAGATTTGTGACACCCTGCTGCCGGCGAGATATTATGACCACAGCTGACCCCAGATCACGTTTGACAAGTACTCGCAACATACGACTTGGGCGGAACGCTGACTTGCAACTTTTACCTGCCCAAGCATATGTACATTGATGGGGGACAACTGCCTGGTGAGGTTTATTGACACACAATGTACATACCAATGTATGGAGGACGATGTATAGTTTGATTTATGGTGGTACAAGAAAGAAGGCAGTGTCATTATGTACATTTCATCAGGCAGTGTTGGAAGTGAGAATCTACATATATTTCCATATACACAGAGGTGGAAATTAGAGTATGTCCCATTTAGATATCTATGTTATAGTCGGGTTAAAGGTTTCGTTTATACTGTAATAACGGTACTATATTGTATGAATGGTGACATATATTGCTAGTAAACGTCTTTGTACTCATTTAAATACATGACTGTTAAATTTGAATAGTGGAAACGACGTGAGGAAATTTTTATGTATTGATATTCGGGGACTGCTGTCATTACAACTGTGCATACTCGATATAATTACACGACTTTACGATAAAGTTACACTAAAATGATATACACATGCAGATATGATATACACATGCAGATACACATGTACATATACGCATATGCATTCTCTCTCACACACACACACACTCTCTCTCTCTTACACACTCTCACACATTCGCTCTCTCATCTCTCTAATACTCTCTCACAAATTCTCTCTCTTATCCCTCTCACACTCACACATTCTCTCTCATACTCTC